ACTGTTTCTTTTTTTTTTTAATTTTTATTTATTTATTTATTTTTTTGAGAGTTTTTTGCTATTGGGTGTGTGCGCTCGCCAGACAGACAGAGAGAGACAGAGAGACAGAAAGTGAGAAATCACCCCCCAGGGGGGATGGCCACACCGCCATCCCTTCTCCTCCATTCTCCTCTTGGGATCTTGGGCACGCACGCACACGCGCCCGGCGTGTTTTAAGCCACCAGGTCTGGGACGTGAACCGCAGTCGACTACGTGAGAGTCCAGCGACATAGCCATTACGCTAACTGCTGGCCCCTTAAAGGACTGTTTCTAAGCTGTGCAGTGTAAATATGTAAAGAAAAGACCCAAACCAAATGGTCTTTTTTGTCATTGCATTGTCATTGTCAAGTCTTTGTGTTGCGTGTATAGCCTTGTGTGTGAGTTGGGATACACCAACACCTGAATCTGAATTAAAGAAGGGAACAGTGTGAATCCTCATCTCAGGAGCTTTTCTTAGGTTTTACTTTCTATACCTGTAGGCTGGAAATAAAAAGTTTAATCGAGCCAAACTCTTGAATGTGGGCTATCTAGAAGCTCTCAAGAAAGAAAATTGGGACTGCTTTATATTCCATGATGTGGACCTGGTGCCCGAGAATGACTTTAACCTGTACAAGTGTGAAGATCAGCCCAAGCACCTGGTGGTGGGGAGGAACAGCACCGGGTACAGGTAAGGCGGCTCTGCCGATGTCACGCAGGTTGGGAGCTGGCTTTGTAATTAAGGCTGTGTGGAACATTGTGGCCAGTGTTTAGGAGAAACGGTCTGAAGTTCAGAACTTTAAGGAATTAGATAATGTGATAAGGAAAAACATTCTGCAGCAACCTTGGCAGGGGAGTCACAGGCAAAGGGGGAAGAACAGGAGAGAGAAAATAACCCGGGCGTTGTGAATGGTTGCCAGCCTACCCTCTGCTCCGTGGGCTGGGACTCCACTTTCCCACACAGGGCAGACCTCACTTCTCGGCTTGGAGGCAGCACGATGGTGCCGTGGGGTCAGCTTTTAGGCTTCTGTTGTGATTGTGATGTCTCTTTGCAGACAGTGGCCTCTTTCCAGGGCCTGGGAGAGGGGGACTCCCCCAAGTAGTCTGCTCAGTAGCCAGGACCTCTGGACAAGTGCCTTCCTCTCAGAACCACTGTGGGAAGTGCCAGGTACCATCGTCTCTGTTTTCCGGGAGAGACGTAACTGCTTTCCAACCTTATTTTACATGAGTTTGTATTCGAGTACCACTAAGGGGAAATAGTAACCAAGAACAAGAACGTTTCTCTGTAAGTGAACCTCTGTGTTTGCTCACGTGTGCCCACCCTGGCCTCACCTTCCCCTGGGCCCTGCCACCGATGTGAGCGTGTGTCTGTGCTGCCTACCGTGCTAGAGGCCCCGGGAGCAGTTCGAGTGGGGTGGCGTGTCTGCCCTCAGAGAGCTCCCTGCCAAGTGTGGTGGGGAGGCAGGAGCTGCAGCAGTGATGGGTTAATACAGCACTTCTGCAGACATAACTGTGAGCACTTGCTAAGGAGGGGACGGGAGGGAAGGAGGAGGAAGGAGAAAAGAGAACCATAGAACTGCAATGTATACAGGAAATACACCAGAGGGTACTGATTCTGAAATGGAAACTGAGTCCCTCTGTCTTGCTTGGTCTTGGCTTCCATGTGGCTTTTACATTTTGGACTATTTTGAGAATTCTTTCTTTTCTTTTTAATTTCTTTCTTCCATGAGCATGAGAGACAGAGAAGAGAGAGGGGCAGAGGCACAGCACCTCCCATATGGTCTTGGCGCTGCAACTGTAGTACCACCCTCAGCCAACTTCAGCCAGCCCTGGATCATGGGCATGTGCACACCTGTGTTCAGGGAGGGTCTGGACTTGAACTGGGGGCCTTCTCATGTGGGATTGCTTGCAGAGCCACGCCTCTTACCACTGCATCACTGTCTGCCCCGCCTACTTAAGAGAATTTTTGAGTAACATTGACTGGAGGTGACTTCTGCCTTAAGTACTGATTTAAACCCCAGTTCCTCTAAGCCGTGGGAGGTGAACAAACACCTATTGTGAATAAGCTGTGAAGGTGAGGGTACAGTGTCTTTAAGAAGTACCCAGCTGTTTTCCAGGGAAGGTGGCACTTTCCTCTTACGGAGAATTACTCAGAGCTTCCCAGGAGAGTGTTAAGACATGCCAGAAGACATGGCCCGGTGTCAGGAGAAATGCACAGAGCTGGTCTCCTGGAGCAAATGTCTGGGGTTGGGCAGGAGGTGAGGCTAGGCAGGAGCTAGGGTATGTAGGCCGCGTTTAGTCTGATGAGAAGTTTGGGTTTCCTGTGGGAGCGGCTAGGGAGCTGTTGACACAGCTAAAGAGACATTTCACTCAGTCTGTTTTTAATGTTTTGGGTGGCTCAAAGCAGGAGTTGGGAAGCTGAGGGAAGTGATGCCACGGGCCTGAATAAGGGCAGGGGCCCTGGGGCCAGAGAGCAAGGAGAGAACCATGAAACGTTCCTTGTTGGGATAACTTGATCTTTGGATTCTCATCTTACTATCTAGAGCTTTTGTTTTCTGGAGGTTTCTCTGAGTCACTTCTGTATTGAAGGAAGCAGACCATCATCACTGGGCACCATTTTTATTTTTTTAACAGAAGCATGTCATCGTATGTTCACTTGTGCAAAATTAATAAACTATGATTTATCTACAATACAGAACACCTGTACTTTTGACACTTGCCATAGATGATAAGCCCGCTCTTTGTGTCGCCCAGTCTTTTTTTTTTTTTAATTTGCTGTATATGGCACATGTACTCACCAGAAAGAGACGGGTAGGGGGCGGGGCAAAGTGAGAAAGCATTCCCAAGGGGATGGCCACGCCACAGTCCCTTGTCCGTTCTTCTCGGGATTTTAGGTGCACATGCTCCTGGTGTGTTCTTCAAGCTGCTGGATACAGGACTCAAACTTACTTGACCATGTGGCATCCATGTGGCATCCATTCAGCCAACTGATCGTGGGTCAGCCCTGCCCAGTCTTTCTAAACTTCTGGCTGCCCAGTTAATTTCTAAATAATCACACACGATGGTTTTAAGGACAAGCCTTTTCCTAAGAGTCTAGATTTTACCTTTGTATTAAGTTGGACCACAAGAAAGCTAAGTTTTTAGACATTTTTTGCTGGGGATTGATTTTGACATATACTTAGGTGTTAAATTAGGTCATCAAGAAAGTCATGACATTTTTTTAAATGTAAAAATAATCATGACAATAGTTGTAGGTTTTGTTAGATGCTACTTATTCTAAGAAACAGCCCATATTTGAATCTTGCTCTTTGTTTTTAATTGCCAGAGGGTGGATGTGCTCACCAGAGAGAGAGAGAGAGAGAGACAGAGAGAGAGAGAGACAGAGAAACAGAACTCCTAATGATAGTCATGCCACAATGCCTTTTCCTCTATTTCTCCATGCAGTCAGGATTTAGGACATGCACCTGCTCCTTCACGTATGTTTCAAGCTTCTGAGGCAAGAATTTGAACTGCGGTCAGCCATGTGGAACCCGGCTCCCAATGCACAACACGTAACTACTGTGCTCCAGAGCTGGCCCCAGACATTTTTTCTTCCTTTCCTTCCTTTTTATTCATTTTTCTTCTCCCCTCCCCCCCGCCCCAGGTTTTTACCGTAGGGCACCTGTACTCTCCAGAGAGAGAGGGAAAGTGAGAAATCACTCCCCTGGAGGATGGCCATACCACAGTCCTTTCTCCATTCTCCTTTCAGGACTTGGAGCATGCACACACATGTGCCTGGTGTGAATTTCGAGCTTCTGCGTCTGGGATTCAAATTGCGGTGGGCCGTGTGGAAATCCAGCACCCTAACTACCATACCATCTGCTGGCCCCCGCCTTGGACATTTTTTTAAAATGCTTTTATGTGCTTAGATATCAGAAAGCCTTTGTCTCCGGTTAGCTAGTAGGTTTTCTTAATGTGAATCGGGTCATTCCATGTGTCTTCTCTTTTTAAAAACATTTTATTTAGTTTTATTTATTTATTTAATTAATTTATTTAATTTGACCAGAGAGAGAGAGAGAAGGTGAGAAAGCAAGAAAGCAAGCCATCAGGTCTGGGACTCAGACCATGGTTGGCCATATGGGAGTCCAGCGCCCTTAACTATCAGGCCACCTGGCAGTGCCTCCTCTTTTAATCTGTATGAAAGAAGCTCTGAGCCAAAACCATGGCCCATTTTAGAAACTTATTTGCAGATCCAAATTCTAATGTATTTCCTATCTTAATCTTCTATCTCTGGATTCAAATTTTTCTCTGGTCCTGGCTTATCATTTATGTTTTTGTACTTCATTGTATGTATCATGTAAACTCTATCTTTTATAGCCAGGGAGAGGTTTATATGTTTAAGTAATGTAGAAGTAAGATATTGCAACACCCCATCCCACCCCTCTTTTTTTTCATCTTTGCTATTGGGTAAAATAGCTCTGACAGCTGGCAAGCTCAGTTGCAGGCAGTTATATGTGTGCCCCCTGCTGGTTACTGTGTGTCACTGCGCCACACAGCTTAAATCATCTCATGCCTCTTCACTGTCACAACCCCTTAAGTGTAAGCCAGGTTTTCACTCTACACACATACCGAGAGAAGAAGTTAAAGGAACTTTCCCAAGTGTCTTCGCACTCCAATGAAGCCAGAAATAAGTCTCGTTTATTCCTGACTATGGGTCAGTGGTAAAACTGGACCAGGCTGTGGCGAATCTAATGCCAAGAATTCTGTTGATAACTGGCTGTTTCTACCAGGAACCAACTGTTATTTTATGGCCGCATGTCCTCCACCCTTGAGCCTTACAGCCCTTTAAAAATAAATAAAACTGTTCCAGGGCCAATGAAATATGTATGGTTTTCCATATTAAAAAAACAAACAAACAAACAAAAGCAAAGTTTAATCAACATGGGACTAGCAGTTAGTGTAATGGCTACGTCACTGGACTCCCATGTAGTCAACCGTGGTTTGAGTCCCGGACCTGGTGGCTTAAACTCACATTGGGCATGTGTGCGTGCGTGCCCAAGATCCCGAGAGGAGAATGGAGGAGAAGGGATTGCGGCATGACCATCCCCCCTGGGGGGTGATTTCTCGCTTTCTGTCTCTATGTCTCTCTCTGTCTGTCTGGCGAGAACCTTTCTTTCTTTTTTTTTTTTTAAAAAAGAATGATTTATTTATTTAATTCCATTTGTTGTTATTGTTATTATTTGACTAGAGAGAGACAGAGAGAGAGAAAGGGAATGTGAGAAAGTAAGCTGCCAGGTCCAGGACTTGAACCGTGGTCAGCCATGTGGGAATCCAGCACCACTAACCACCATGCTACCTGCCTGCCCCCTGGTAAGAGCCTTTCTAAGCACTTTATTTTCTTTTGTTTTACATTACAAAAAATATCACTTGCCAGAATTTTAGGTTGGCAGTACTAAGTACATCTATTTCCCTGTCTGTCTGCAGAACCTAGAAACAAGCGGCTGAACTGCACACGAGCATTTGGGGCTCCACCTCTTTAATGGCAACTGTTTATTGTTTTTTCTTCTTTTCTGAAAAAGCATAAATATTTCATTTGTCCTGGGACACTTAGAACGTAAATCAATTAAAGTTAGAAATCCTCTAACTAGTCACAGCTGTAACTCAGTAACATCCACGTTACTAAGCCACCTTCATTTGCATTTCCGAATCGTGAGAGTCTTATGTTTCAGGGATATCTTCTTTCCTCAGACGTACTAATTGCCCACGCATGACACTTACGCGTGCTGTGTGACCGGGAGGTGCTCTCTGGTCTTTCTCCTGGCCTTTACTCTTTCCTCCTCGTTGGTGTTCCCCACAGTTCCACCCTCTGCACCTTTCTCCCTCTGCGTTGTCTTGGGGTGAGTCTCCTGCTCTGTGCCTTCAGGTCCTCCTGTTGGCAGCCCCTTTCCAAACTCGTATCTGTAGCCGCTCCCATCCTGGGAGCCGGACCGTTACCCTTTTGCCTACTGACAGGAGCTTGCTAAGTCTCCACTAATTCAAGACGCGGTATGCTCTCTTCCTCCCACAGCCTCGTCACGTGTCCATACACCCTATTTCTTTCCCTTTTTTTTGGAGAGTTTTCTGCTACAGGGCGCGTGTGCTCGCCAGAAAGATAGAGATAGAGAGACAGAAAGCAAGAAATCACCCCCCCAGAGGGTGGCCACGCCGCAATCCCTTCTCCTCCATTCTCCTCTCGGGATCTTGGGCACGCATGCACATGCGCCTGGTGTGAGTTTAAGCTACCAAGGTCGACTACATAGGCGTTCAGCAATATAGCCGTTCTGCTAACTGCTGGTCCCCATACACCCTATTTCATGGCAGGGAATGTCCTCTGTCTAGTGCCCCAAGCCAGAAGCCTCAGGGGTGCTGAGATGTGTTGGGCTGTCCTGGAAACAGAGCCTGACATGGAGATTGCACACACAGCGTGGGCAGGAGCCATCTCCTGTTCTCCACCCCTCCCCACATGAAAGTCTATGTTAAAAAAGGAAACGTATATGCACCGTGACACTCATGCATGCTGAGACTGGATGCAGTCTCACAGATCTTCTTAGCTCAGCACCCTAGTTAGCCACTGCCGTTCATGGGGTCGGCACGGGGGTGAAGTCTGCCATCCGGAGCTGGTGTTGGGTCTGTGCCTGTGGGCGTCTCTAGATCTCCCCACACGAACGAGAAGGAGGTGGGCGGCACCTTGTAAGTGAGCCGAGGAGAGCACCTGCCTAGAGGGAAGGGAGAAGGCAGGGAAGGCCATGTGTGCTGGAGGTGGCCACCGAGCAGGAGTGGACGGTGCAGGTACTCGGTCTTCAGCATTCCCGGAAGGCCAGTCCTGCCGTCGGAGACTCTGAGGACAAGAGGGCTCGGTACCGACACGCTTACTTTTCTTTCCTCTCTTTTGATCCAGGTTACGCTACAGCGGATATTTCGGGGGTGTTACTGCCCTAAGCAGAGAGCAATTTTTCAAGGTGAATGGATTCTCTAACAACTACTGGGGATGGGGAGGCGAAGACGATGACCTCAGACTCAGGTGAACAACAGAGAAAGGTCCCCTTCACGGGGCTCTGCTCTCGGTGGTGGCTCGAGGTTGTGAGCAGTTCCTGTAGATGCTAGTCCAGCGGGTCACCGGGCTGCACATTATTCTTAAAAGGTGGCACAGAGGAGGGAGGGCAGACAGAGGAGCTCTTTTCTTTGCTGGTGGGCTTTTGGGGTCCTAAGTTTGGTGGAGGCCTCTGTAGACTTGGGGGTGGGAATTACTTAACGAGACAAGGCTCACCAGTGAATGAGAAGTCCCAGCTGCGGGGCGTCTGCTAACCTGCACTTTGGAGCAGGGGCTGCTGTAAGCCTGCTGTTGCCTCTTGGGCCCTGGGGCTCCTGGCACCGAAGGAGGCACAGGCTGAGCAGGCTGAGAGGTCCTCTCCGGTGCATCTGCTAGCCCGGCCCTCGGAGGGAGCAGCTGGCCGCCTGACCCCAGCCTGCCTCTGGGCTGTTGGCGTTATCTGCAGATGCTCCTGCAGTTTTTGCTCTAGGGTCTAAATGAAAGGACTCTGGACTCTTCTCTCAGTTCTCTTTCTTGAATTTGGCTTTTGTGGCCAGAAGCTGCTGGGTGCTTCCACCTCTGGAAAATAAGTAGTTATTCGAGAGCCCTCAGCTGTATCTCACACTCGTAACCACAGGGTCTTTCTGGCAGTCAGAAGACACCTTTCCCTCCTGCGAGTGGCTCTTGGAATGGAAATTTCCAAGCTGGAGCTCTGAATTAGTAAAGGTGTGATTGTCAGAACGTTTGCATTGCCTCCATGTGAAGAACCCGGGGACTCCATGCGGTCTTACTCCTAGGTCTGAGTTAGGAGCCCCTAGAATGTTTCTGGCAGGAGGGAATGGGTTTTCCTGACCAAGGGCTCCACAGAAATGGCTGGAGTGATGGGCATCAGTTCTTCACGGCCCAGGCCTCCCACAGCCTGTGTGGCCACAGCTTACAAACTGCCAGCGGCTCCTGCTGGACTTCGGGGCAGCAGTGCTGAAGGCTGGAGGGAGACAGCACTCATCTTCCTCAGTCCACTGCCTTGCCCGCTGGGGCGGTTAGGTGAATTTTGCACTAATCGCACGTGATCATCGTCTTTTCCTTGCTACCCCTCAGCTTCAAAGAGAGGGGGACCCCACATTTCGCTCTCACTTGATAAGAACATCATGGCCTTCAGAATGGCTCTCCGCTAATGCTATGGAGAAACCAAAACGATTTGATGACGAACACCGGCTGAGGTTCATTTATTAGGTATTTGATGTACTTGCCCGTGCGGCTGGTGCCACCCTCCTCTGCTCGTAGAGAACCCATTTCAGCGTGCAGAGCACATTCTACGTGAATCACATTGTCTGGGTTGATCTTTCAAATCAGCTCCATCTTACCACTGCCATTTTACAGATGAGGAAATCGAGCCCCGGAATAGCGAACTGACTTAGCAAGGCTGAAAATAAGAGAGTCTAGACTTGAAACCAGTTTGTGGCTTTAAAGCGTGTGACCTTAAATGATCATTCCTTTCTTTGTTCAAAGAAGGCAGCACTGAGTAAATTAGGGGTCCTGAGAGACTTGAGTCTCCTGTTTTTCAGGATATTTAAGTATTTTATTAGTTATTTTGTTTGTGTTTTGAAAATGACTGGAAATTGATGCCTCTCCTTTATACCTCAGTAGTGAATGCTACATGGGATTCTCTTATGCACTTATTGCCTGAGGTCCTGCCATTAAGGAAAATCTCAAATTAACTTTAAATTCTTTTTTAAAACTACCCAAATAATCAGGCTATGTGTGATTGTGGTGTGTAGATTTTTACAAGTGATATTTTTTGTGTGCCTAGTGGTACATTAGTAGAAGAGTGGGATGGATTTTTTTTTTTTTCATTTTAAAATTCTCTTCTGTTATTTTCCTAGGGTTGAGCTCCATAGGATGAAAATATCCCGGCCAAAGCCTGAAGTGGGTAAATACACAATGATCTTCCACACTAGAGACAGGGGCAATGAAGTGAATATAGAAAGGTAAGTCCTGGATTCACACGCCTGGCTGTCTACTCCCTAGTCTCTTCGGTCAATAGGGACGGTGCTGGCCTGGTTGAATAGTGCAGTGGTTAATGGGAGCCAGATCCCACATGGTTGACCTTGGTTGGAGTTCCAGCTCTGGAGGCTTGAAAAACACACTGGATGCATTTGTGTGCATGCTCAAATTCCTGGTGGGATGGAGAAACAGAGGAAAAAGAATTACAGCGTGACCACACCCCATTGGGGGTTTCTCTCGCTCCACCCTCCTCTCTCTGGTGAGCATGCATGCTCTCCAGCAATTAAAAAAAATGTCGGGGGACCAGCAGTTAGCGTAATGGCTATGTCACTGGACTCCCATGTAGTCGACCGCAATTCGAGTCCCGGACCCAGTGGCTTAAAACTCACGCTGGGCGCATGTGTGTGCGTGCCCAAGATCCCAAGAGGAGAATGGAGGAGAAGGGATTGCGGTGTGGCCCTCCCCCGGGGGGGTGATTTCTCGCTTTCTGTCTCTCTGTCTCTGTCTGGCGAGCGCATGCGCCCTATAGCAAAAATAAAAAAATAAAAAAATAAAAAAATTAACCTCTCAAAAAAAATGTTGACTTTGCTGAATTTAATCAGATAAACCAGCTCATTTTATTAAAAGCTTTTTATTAGGAAGATTTTAAGACAGACACACATGGTACCTTGAAACCTGACTTAAGTAATTATCAACTCATGGCCTCTCTTTTTTCCCTCTCTCATTGGATTGCTTAGAAACAAATCATGATCTTGCATATCATGTGTAAATTCTTAAGTATATTTCCCTAAAATTTAAAAAGCCTTACAAAAAGAAATGAAATACCATTATCATACCTAAAATAAAATTAATACTATTTTCTTAATATTATTAAATGTCCAGTCAATATTCAGATTTCTCATTTATATTTAAACATTTGGGCTAATTGGTATCTAGGCATGGTCCACATTATATTCGAATGATCTCCCTCTCCCTTTCCATTTTTTTTTTTTTTGTGACCCCTCCCTCTTTTTTTTTTTTGTTTTTTTTTTTTTTTTTGCTGTAGAGTGTGTGCACTCACCAGAGAGAGGGAGAGGGAGAGAAAGTGAGGAAGTGCACCCCCCAGGGGTGATGGCCATGCTGCAGTCCCTTCTCCTCCATTCTCATTTTGAGATTTTGGCACACATGCATACGCCCCCCTGTGTGAGTTTTAAGTCTTTGGGTCTGGAACTCAAACTGTGGTCAACTATGTGGGAGTCTAGCAATGTAACCATTATGCCGCCTGCTGGTCCCTGTCCAATAGAATTTATGACATAAGGATTTTGCTAATTGCATCTTGATAGTATAACTTCTTATGTTTCTCTGACTTGTTTTTTATAAACTGGGAATTAGATCTCTCTAGATTTCTGCAGGCTTAAATAGATTCCAAATATTGTTTTTAGACAAGAACACGTCATCAACGGTGTCATGCACCTCCCCTTGTATCACAACAGGAGGACGTACTAGCTGGTCGTCTTTGCTGTGATGTCAGGATCGATCTGTGGGTTCAGGATTGATTGGTTAGCCTAATCCATTCATAAGTGACCCCGTTGGATTTTCACCTAATAATCTGAGCAGCCACTGGTGCTCATTTCCTAAATTTCTTATTTAATTGTGGTTGCAAAATCATACTGTTCTAACTCAATCATTCCTTCTGCATTTACTAAGTTTTTCCACAAAGAAGAACTTGCCCTCTTCATTGAGTACTCTGGGGAACAGTTCTTATAGGAAAGATAGAACAAAGGGAAGGAATCAAGCACTGATTAATCCTTTTTCAGAATGATTCATTGGTGTTCCCTAGTATCCTTCAGGATGTGGTTGGTATTCTTTTTGACACTTAAGTTCCCTCCTCTTTGGCCAATGGGATCTTCTTCAAGCTGGCTCCTGAATCCGCTGGACATAACCACGGTTGTCTCTGAGAGCTTCCTTCCTTGTGGCCTGGTGGCATGAGGTATTGGAGGGGAGGCTCACCTCGTACTCTTACTGCCCTGGCATTGGCTCTTTCCCCCAGGAATCCTGGCCGATAAGCCAGTTCTTTATGTGGCTGGGATTGAAGCAGCTGTATTTCTTTGTTATGACATTTTTCCCCTAAATTTAAAAATGTGTCAAAGGGCTTTTAGCTCTTTTGTTAGAGTTTACATTTTAAAATGATGTTAAAAACCTTTTGACCCAATATTAAAGGGCTTTTGTAAATTTATTTTAAAACAACATTTAAACGATTTGGGCCTGTTTGTAAGTCTGCTACTTTTTTTGTTTCTTTGTTTTAGTTTGCAAAAGGGTGCATGGTCTTACTGGAGAGAGGCAGACAGGGAAAGTGAGAAATCACACCCCAAGGGGAAGGGCTATGCTGCAGTCTCTTCTCCGTTCTCTTGTGCATGCACGTACATTTTTTCAACCTGGTGTGTTTTCAACCTACCAGGTTGGGGCCTCAAACCTTGGGTTTGACCATGTGGGGCCACCAGTGGTGTGTGGTAGTTGGGGTGGCTGATCCCACAGGCTGACTGTGCAGCATGAGTCCCAGACCTGGTAGCTTGAGGGCGTGTGTGTGCATGCCCAGAATGCTGAGAGGAGAATGGCCATGCCCTGTGGGGGGCGCTTTCTCACTTTCTCTGTCCCTCTCTCTGTATCTTCTCTGGCAAGTGCGTGCAAAATTTTTAAAAGTTAGTTATCAAATAGATATAAAAGAATATTTGTAAATCATCTGAGAAGTATGATGAAGCTTAAGGCCATGAACATGAGGATTCCCTATCTTCAATGTATGTCTATTACCTGGGTGCCCTTTCTTTCTTTCTTTCTTTCTTTTTTTTTTTTAAGAATTATTTTAATTAAATTAATTAATTAATTAATTAATTTTTGATCAGAGAAAGACAGAGAGAGAAGGAAAGTGAGAAAGCAAGCCACCAGGTTTGAGACTGGAACCATAGTCGGCCATGTGGGAGTCCAGCGCCCTTAATCACAATGCCACCTGCCAGCCGCATTTGGGTGCCCTTTCTAATCCTGTATCCTCCTACTTCTTTCCTCCCCCTTCCACCTCTCCTCTTTCTCCCACCCAGATCATGCTTTCCAGAGTTTTTGTTATAATTACAATTATTTCTACTGTTTTTTAGTTTTCTTGTTTCCCTATGTATTTGTATCCCTGACTAACTAAAATGCTGTTTAGTTTTGCACGTTTTATAACTTGGTATAAAGGAACTCACACTGTAGTTATTCTTCTCTGACTTTTTTTGGGTCAACATTGTATTTCTGCTCTCCGTCCATATGTAAAACTGAAATTTTGTTTTTCACTGCTGAGCAACTAGAGACCTGTTCAGTTCACACCCATGTCTCTTGCCAGATTCCACAGCTCTGGCCATACGAACGACTCACTCTTCATCCAGTACACCCGCTCTTCTGCATGTCCACACATTTTGGCCAGGAAGTCTCCCCATCTGGAGAGACCTTTCCATTCACCCTCTTCAGTTCATTTCACAGTCACAGTTCTACCCTCCATCTGCTGGGATCATGGGCATATTCATGCCTGGTATGCCCAGGGAGACCGTGGGGCTCAAACCCAGGACCACATGGCCTCAGCTTTGCATAGCATTGC